TCGTATGCATCTAGTTTTTTTGTTCACATATTTTGGCCCTTCAAACTAATTTTGTCTGTGGTAATTTGGCAGATAGGGGATCTCTGAGATCAAAGATATTGAAAAACGGAGGTTTGTAGTTGGCCGTTGTGGTTCAGACCATTGGCAACATGTTGATGATGCCGCCATGTTGCGGGCGTTGTTGTTTTTCAGGCACTGCGTGAATGGGATCCGCCTATCTGAAATGATTCATGGACTACTCGATGCCAACAGTCTTCCACTTTCTTAAATCGAGTGGTAGAGGGGCTAAATTCTGATAAAAGAGGAAGAGGAGGCGGATTTAAGTAAAACAAACGTCTATATTTTAGTCTCAATACAATTAGTATAATTTTTTCAAACACCGAAATTCTTCTTTGTCCTTTGTTAGTATTTAAACGTCAATGAATTATACAATAGACACAATCCACACAACAAGGTCTGTTCTATGATAGAACTTCTATCTTGTACTAAAAATACTAAAAATCACTGCAACACTGCACAGAGTTTAACGGCGGCCATTTTTGTTGTTTACAATTTTTGTGCTTTGGGTTTGTGCTCTGTTTATACAGATTAATAATTCTTTTTAAGGTTGTGTTTCTTACAGAGCAGGTGCCTCTTTTGTAAAAAATAAACCCTATTCTATCAGGGCTGTCACCAAACTGTCAAATGTCAATTTTAAGGTTAATTTATAACCCACAAATTAACCTTCAAATTGATATTTGACAGCCCTGATAGAATAAGGTATATTTTTTATAAAAGAGGAGTAAAATGGTTGTTAGCACTTAAAGGCCTTATTTGAGGCTTACAAGTGCTTCTGTAAGAAACACAACGTTTAAAACAGCACAAACCCAAAGCACAAGAATTGTACACAACAAAAACTTTTAGTATTTTGAGCATAAGATACAACAGACCTTGTTGTGTGGATTGGGCAATAGAGATTAAATAATATATTTAGTTACATTTGAATTAGGCAACCGAACCCCAAATTTTTGACGTTGCCAAAGTCCATATAACCTTATCCCATAGAAAAATCCTTCTGCTTTAATCTAATATTTTTATTTTATTTGCAACTGTGGAGGCGATGTCATACAACACAAGCGTTGTGTTTTTAATAGTTCTGTATTTGTTTAGCCTGAAATATTTGGATGCAGAAAATCAAGATGATAAAGATGATGAAGAAGATGTAAGCAAACTAAAGTTTCCCCATCAAGCTGTAATTTTTAGGAGAGATAGATTTATTTGTGGTGGGGCAATTCTACAAAAGAAATTTGTTTTGTTTCCAGCTCATTGTTTCCCCACAATACGCCCTGGAGAAAAACCCGGTAAACGCTCTATATCATTATATAACGTGGGTGTCTCCCAATATACTACATCGACTTACCAGAAATATAGAGTGTCCAACATTTTTATTCACGATTTTTATACTTTTGCCAAACATGAAAATGATTTAGCTATGGTTAGACTTAAAGAAGCCATACAATTAGATCCATTTACAAGTATTGTGTACTTATCAGAGCAGGAAGTATTAGTGGAAGCCAAGTGTCTTACAGTTGGATTTGGGTCAATTCATTTATCAAAGGATGCTGACAAAATATTAAATATAAATGTAACAGTGGTAAAAAGAGAAAACTGTATGATTGAAAGTCCATCCAAATTTTGCGTGGAAGCTGCAAAGCCTTTTTGTGATGATGAATATGGTAATTATATAATCTGCAACAATACTATAGCTGGAGTTTACACTTTGGGTAATAAATTAGTATGTAAGAAACCGCATGTGTATACTAATATATTTAAATATAAAGACTGGATACTAGAACAGTACCAAAGAGCCGGTTCAGGTTTGAATGTATCGTATTCTGTATTAGTTTATTTAATATCAATTATTATAATATTGAATCAATATATTTAATATAATATAAAATTCACTTTTTTTGTTAATTAAGTGCTGGTGCTACCTTAAACTCAACAATGATTGTTTAAAGAACTTCGTAGTAGAGAATTACATGTTTCGATGATAATTTCCACTCAAAAACATACAAAACAAACTTGGTAACACCTTGACATTATTTGGTCGCGCTTCAAGGCGTTACGCAAGCACTCTCTTTCCTTGTCTAAGGTCCAATGACATGGTTTTCACAATGTTATACTCTAAAGAAACATCGGGTTTTCGCAACGCGCGCGCCATCTGGTGGATAGCATTGTGTGAATTCAAGAATTGTCAACAATACATTTAAAGCATACGTTTTTAAATAAATAGGTAGTTTTTTCCCAAAAGAGGAAGGAAGAAGTCTTAATCGACAAATTTTGTTCAATAGTACAACTAAATCGTAGCCCTCTATTTCAATTTATTATTCCTTATATAATTAATTAAGAAACTCAATGCTTGTATGCTTATATAGTTACGTTACTGTGCACACATGTGTATTTTATCTAAGTGATCATAGTGAATTAATGTGTTTTGAATTGTAAATAAAATTCAATAACTAAATCGTTTCATTTTCATGTTTTGCCAAAGAATCCAATACGGTACGTATATTTGTTGGTGCAGAATTAACTAATGATACCTTTACCTAATATAATTTATACTTAAGTTTGGATATTTTTAAGAAATCTAACAAAAAATAATTGTACAAACATAACCTTAAAATTGAATATTTTTATATTTGAGTCCTCTAAAAAAATGCCGCGAATTCTTGGCAACATAATATTATATGTAATACCGGTCCTTGGTATTTTACTGTTAAGTGGAGACTTTCTTATAAGATACATTAAATAGAATAAATACACATTTTGGTAATGATTTACGTGAAATTTCAATTCAGTAAGAATCATAAAACATGTCTAAATTTAAAAAGCATTTAGCATTATAATCAACGCTTTTAATAATGCTAAATGCTGTTTAAATTTAGACATGTTTTTTGATTTTTACTGAATTGAAATGTTTACAATTTTTACGTAAATCATTACCAAAATGTGTATTTATAATATATTATAAATATAGAACAAAACACAAAACATTTTTATAATTTTAAGCCTCTGATCATTTAAAATTATATAGCAGAGTATTTTAAAAAAATTTACGAGAACTTTTATAATTTTGATTTTGTTGTAAAAATGTGTTTTCTCGCCCTAAAAAGCGTTTTATAGTTAAAAAAATCGTTTTTGTGAGAAGATATCGAGTATTTAACAAAATATAATTTTTATAGTAATTTAACTTTAATTGCAAAAATGTGTTTTTAAATCCTTATAGGTCGTTTTTTATAAAAAAATTAAATTTTATAAATTTTATAACATAATATTTAAATTTAAATTTGATTTGTAAGATTTTTTTTTACCATAACTTTTTTAATTTTAATTTTACCGATAAAAATTTTGATGTTTTTTCTTGAAAATTTTGCAAGTGGCATTAATTTTTAAGAGCACGAGCCGCTAGCCGAGTGGTTTTAAATTAATTCCACGAGCGAAATTTCCAGGGTTTTTTCACCTAATTAGTAGTTTTATCGCTGCAAATCTGAAAAAAACACTCGTTTTCTGAAATCTGATTGGTCCATAAAGTAATGAGTGAAGTAGTCGTATATAATACCACTAGTGGTAAAATTTTACCGATACAATTTTTGATTTTTATACGAATGTTTTTTTCTTGGAAATTTTGCAAGTGGCATTAATTTTTAAGACCACGAGCCGATAGGCGAGTGGTTTTAAATTAATGCGACGACAAAATTTTACTGTTGCTATAACAATTATACCGTGGTACACAGAATTGTACTATACTCTTTAATAAAATTTGAAAAATTAAAGTGTTCAAAAGGATAAATTACTCCACTCGCCTTTGGCTTGTGTCGCAATATTTCATTCTCATAGAAATGGCCAACTTTCTCAACTCTTGTACAATATACTATTTATCTTCCTCAAAAGTTTGTAACGCAATTCTATTCATAAAATCAGTTATATGGTTCTAAAATGCATTTTTGTAAGAAGATAATATCTTTAATATGGACTATTTTACAAAATATAATTATTGTTCAATAAAGCAATTTTATAAGGAGATAATATCGATATAATATTGATATTATCGACTATTTTACAAAATATAATTATTGTTCAAAAAAGCAATTTTATAAGGCGATAATATCGATTTAATATTGATATTATCGACTATTTTACAAAATATAATTATTTTGTATGGTATCTAATTTAAGTGATTGCAAAAATGAGTTTTAAAGCCTTACAAGTTTTTTTTGTGATAAAATTAGTGTTTGACTGAAACACAATTTTTAGCCGAAACCGCAACCGTAACCGAATATTCGGCTCCTCCAGCTTAAAATCTAGTTTTTTTTCTAGCATTGTAACAGATTAATTTATTATAAAATCTGCTTTTTAAAATCACTTTATTTGTTAATAAGTTTTAAATAATATAAAATTGTTATCTTAGCTCTAATAATTATAATTAAAAAGTCTTATAACTGGAAATTTATTCTCCAGGAACGCCTGAAGTTGTTTTAAAATTTATTTACTAAATATTATTTAATTTTAATCTAAATTTAACTTTAATTTTAAGACTTAGAATTACGAATTTCTTGCCGAAAATTGCACAAACCGAAACCTAATACTATATTAGTAAATATGTATTTTAAAAAATTAATCAAATAAAATCAAAGTAATTAATTTGCGAAAATGTAATTTATTCATATTATAATATTTTTAATAAGGAACAACTTGTGGTAAGTTGATTCTGATCTGAAATATTATTAAAAAATATAAAGACATCTTAATGGGATATGCAACTTTAAATGGAGTTTAGACGATAAGATTGGCCCATTGTAATGCAGATCTAAATTATTTGTGAAACCTGGAAATATATTTCCATATACCTTTAACAGTATTAAGTTGCGAAGAGGAGTAGAAATAATGATAATGAAAACTAATAATTTTTAAACATTTTTGATTTAAAATCAAAAAGATTTGAGGTTAAACCAATATTATTAATAATTTAATATTATAATAATCGATAATAAAGAACATAATACAGAAAACGACACATTTAAACTTAAATCGGCTCTATTTAACCGTTGTAGTATCCAGTCTTTATATTCAAATACATTAGTATACACATGTGTTTTCGTACATATTAGGTCTGGATGTGTAGTAAAAATTCCAGCCAAAGTATTGTTGCAGAGTACGTAGTTGCCATATTCAGCATCACAAAAAGACTTTTCAGCTTCCACGCAAATTTTAGATGAACCTATAATCATACAGTTTTCCTTTTCTACGACTGTTACATTCTTATTTAATAATCTCGCAGCGTCCTTTGATATATGAGCTGAACCATATCCTACTGTAAGACACTTGGCATCAACTAATACCTGCTCTGATAAAATCACAAGATTTGTGAATGCATCGAATTTCATTGCTTCTGTAAGTCTAACAATAGCTAAATCATTTTCACTTGTGTCTAAATCATAAGATTCATGAATATAAATTTCGGCCACATCATGTTTCCTGAATTGGGATTTAGTGTTTTTACTGACACCCACTGTATACAATGATAGTAATTGTGTTTTGGGAAAACAATGAGCTGGAAATATAACAAATTTATTTCGTAGAATTGCTCCACCACAAACAAATTTATTCCTCTTAAACATTACAGCTTCGTGGGGAAACTTTAAGTTGCTTACATCAACATTTTCAATTTCTTTTTCTTCATCTTGCGCATCTAAATATTTTAATCTAAACAAATACAGAACTATTAAAACTATTAAGCTCGTGTTGTATGACATTGTCACCACAATGTGACATTGGCATTTAAAATATAAATAGAGATTAAAGCGTAGCGTAGTTGATACTTCAAAATAAATGTAGTATACTATAGGTATGCCAAAAATTATCAACTTTTTGTTAAAACCACAAACAGCTAGTAACCCAAAAATGTATACACACAATTAAAATTTCCGATTTTAATGAAGTTTACAAAATTCTGATGAAGCTCTACCTACTTTATTCTGTTCAAATTGGATTTTAGAAACCTAAAAAATAATGTTATTACAAATGTTCTAATATTTTTCAAATGTCAAAATTTTCACCACACATTGTAAAAATAATTTTCTATAAATTGTAGTAAAAAAATAATATGTATTTCACTCAGTGACTTCTTCTCTGTATTCCGGTCGTTGTTGTTTTGTTTTGCTTGCATTCCTGAGCAACCTCAGATTTTTCTCATGTCAATTGTGAATTATGAAGCTATTTATTACATCATAATATTTGGATTTGGATTTTGCTTGCAGATGGTACTGGTATTATGCGGGGTTTTTGATATATTTGCTTCAGCAGGAATCTTACCACATACTTCGTTTATTCATATGCACAAGGTGCTAAGTGCCTTTTCGATAAAAAATGAGTTTTTCGCAGCAAGATATATTAGCACCTGTTGAATTTGCACTTTTTGTTTTTATGAATTAGCTGTCAGAAAAAAACTTAATATGGCCACATCTCAAAAACTAATAATGTTACAAAAATGTTATTATAGTAGTTTACCGATCGACCACAATGTTTGGTAAACTCCTTACTATTCGAGATGCTTACACTATTTTTTGTACGGCATGTATGGGTCATTCTTACAATAGGGGAAATTTTATGTCCCTGACTTGCCATGCTCAGTCAAGTGCATGTTCACCATTTTTTATTTTATATTTATTTAGGGGTTTATTGACCCTATTCATACACCTATTAACTTAATAATAAAATAAAACCAATTCGATACATTTTCCCTTTAATTACATAAATTGTCATTAGCGTGGATGTCCCTGGATATCCTTTCACCAGAATATTTTTTTTTGCAAATTAAGAAACTGTCCATAAATACTCTAGCAATAGTATATTATAGACAACACTTTTTAAGATATGTTAAGCGGGACTGAGACAAAAAAATAAAATTGAATTGAAAAAAAAACATTTCTTAAATGTGTCCCTGAGTTTGACATCATTAGCGTGGATTATAATGATACGTATTTAAAATTCCCGCCTACTTTAAATTTTCCAGTTAGCGACCGTTATTATAAACATTTTGGTATACGCTATTTACTTGATTTGACGCCAAACGCGAACAGTTGCACAGTGAACTATGAAGTGTGAAGTTGTTATGTGTTTCATGGGCGTATGTTTAATGTGCATCATTGGAGTGCTAGTGACAATTTTGTTTATCTAAAAGCTATTAGAAAAATATTGAGAATAATTAATGATCAGTGACAACTACAAAAGGTATGCATAATTTAAATTAAATTCATTAATCCATTTGCTGTCCAAAGAACCTTAACCTTAATTTAGTCATTGGCGTGGATATTTACTTGCATCATTAGCGTGGACTTTTTTGTCCACGCTAATGACGGACTATCCACGCCAATGATATTTTGTACGAATAATGATAATAAGATATTTTTATCTAAAATCGGCAGTAAAGTAGTCAACAATCGACAGTAAAGTAAAAGAAATCGGCAGTAAAGTAGAACTTTAGTACCGATTTAATACGAGCATTGTATGCAAACCATTACTGCTCCTTAGCAGCAACTAAATAATATTTTAAAAAAAGCACCTTCGCGGAGATCAATTGGAACCTTTCATAAAATGTTAAAAAAAAAATAATAAGTTAATTTTATTAATTAAATTAAAAATCGCCGCGGCGGGCAAATATATCATAACCCAAAGATAATATATAATATAATAATATAATATAATAATATATAATATAATATAAGATAATATATTATCTTTGTCATAACCATCGCAACAAACAGTATACCATGGACACTACATTCAAATGACATTCGATTCAAATTTTAATGCAGAAGGTGTCTACTGTTTAAAAAGGTAAATAATTTATAATTATTAAATGCGATTTCGGATAAAATTTAATATCGTTACCCTAATTCGCAAAAAACTTAAGTTCACTTTTGAAAAACCGGGTTTTAGTGCCATCTCCTGTTCATGAACCTGCAGGTTTAATATCTACATAAACCGGCAAGTAGCATTACATTTACAATGGGTAGCTGCAATTTACAGAGACATGGTATCCAGGTATGTCTCCTTTTTTTTTATTAATATCGAGCACTGAGGTAAATTATTTTTAGGAATAATTGAGGATATAAATGGAGAAAACATAACTATTACCTTGATGGCAAGAAGTGGTAAATATTTTTATTGGCCTGGATCAACTGATCGACAAATCTTTACAGAAGCTGGTATATTATGTAAATTTGATTTGCCACCACAGCCAATTTCAAATAGATTTTTTAAAGTACCAAACTCCGAGGAAATTGATAAAATATGCTTAATTTATTAATTTTTTTTGTAACCAATGTTTACTTATAAATAAATATTAAAAATATATTTTCATTTCTTATAAAACAGTAGTTTTTCAAAATTTTCTGTAACTGTTTTTTTTTTAAATTTCTTATACTCAAGATTGCTCCTATTATAAGAATATCCCGTATACGCAGACTTTTAATACAAATGTTTTGAGTATTTTTAAAAAACAAAATATCGTGGGTACTTAAAAAATCAGATTTAATTTAATAAGATAATATTACCAAAAAAGTGATATTTTTATACAGGGTGTTATGTAATTAATGTTATATATTAAAATGGGTTGTTCCTTAGGGTCCATAAAGAAGCACCTGAAACTTTTTTTTTCTAAATTCCAAAGTCTAAAAATAATTTATAATAACCTTTATCCTACCAAAAAGTACGCCACTGATCGACTAGGAACTTTAGGTTAATCTGGTGGATTTATTATGTTATGGTTGGTAAACAGTTTTTCCAAAATCTCTCAAAAAAGTTGACAAATATTGTTTAAATTTAGCTTAATTACAAAAATGACAAAATTAACAATGCAAATTGTCAATTTGGCGTTTTTATTAATTGTTGGTTATTTCATTTTTGTACTGAAGGTAAATTCAAACAAAATCTGCCAACTTTTATGACAGAATCTAGTGCATTTCTTTTAAATTTTAGGTTATGTTTTCAAATTATAAATATCTTAACTAAGGGAAGTGCTTTTGGATTTATTTACACAAATTAAATGTTTAAAGTTTAACCTGTGAACTGGTCCCAATTTCATCTGAGTAAACAGAGAAAAAAACTGATGAAAAAATTAATTTTGTGGTTATGGATTTCAAATTTCAAAGGTACTAAATTTTCTAATCATTGCTTAAGCTAATAGCTGGATCAGTAAATAAATACAGAAGGGTATTAGAGCTTTAAGGGCATAAAACTTTTGTATTTATTGAGTTTTTATTTATTTTTTGCAAGAAAAATTTTTAGTAACAATTTTTTACATCTGGCAACGCATAGCTACTTTGTTGGTTGGTATCTATGTACTCACAAAATACAGGTGTGCAGAGATAAACAAGTGTGTAACCAGTAGCGTATCACAAAAAATATAAAAAACTTCTAATGCATATTTTTTCTTTATCTTTGGAAAAATGTTTTTTTAAATATTTTTCCTTTATTCCTTATGTCAAAAGGTATTCAGTATTTTAATATATAACATTAATTACATAACACCCTGTAGAAAAATTATTGCAGAATCGTATAAGAAGAAAAATCGAACAAAATTGATTTTTTTCATTACAGCGACATCTATTACAAATATAAAAAAATGTTTTAGACAAAATCTACCTATTTTTAGTCGAATGATCCAAATCTGCAATAAAAATAGGGTGTTCCATTAGAAATTTTAAAGTTACCCCTTGTTCCCCCTATAAGGAGGAGAGTATGAGGACCAATTTTAGTACTGATTGGTTTCCCCGAATCATTCGAATCATTTAATTTTAATTTTAAAATTTTTTTCGTAAAATGCATACTAACTGAGATATTTCAACGTTTCAAGTTAAATGACTCACCCTCTATAAACAGCAATATATATGTATACATAATAATATTATGACATAAAGTTTAAATTATAAACCGCGTGGAGATAAAATAATGTGTTTGGTTTAAACAATTTTAATAAAACATTTTTCGATTTTAAAATTGTTTAAACCAAACACATTATTTTATCTGCACGCGGTTTATAATTTAAACTTTATGTCATAACTACATTGTAGTATGTAAAATCAAAAAATGTTTTATTAAAATTGTTTAAAACAAACACATTATTTTATCTCCACGCGGTTTATAATTTAAACTTTATGTTGTCAACATTCGATAAAGAAATACCTTGTTATGGCCTAGGCCGATACAAATTTTTATTAGGCAAGTAATTAGTTCGATTTTTTCTCGCTAGGGGTATTGTTTTGACAAATTAATCCTTTTCTAAGAAATTAACGTACTAAACTGGTTTTATTTATTTATAATAAGAACTAATTTGTTTGGTTTACTGTTAATGTTTAATATTTTTCATTAAATTATTGTAAAATTAAATATGAATAATAAAACAAAAAGTGAGGTTAGGCAACCAAGAAAACGCACGATTCTTTTTCTACGATTTAAATTATCTTTAACAGTTTTAATTTGCTTTAAGTTTTCAGTGAAATTAAATGTTAAACACAGCTTAAACATTCCAAACTACCTATTTTTTAAATAAAAATCCAAACAAATTGAGATTAGATACCTACCTATTTATTAAACAATTAATTGAATTCAATGTAATAGCAAAAATCCATTTCTATTTAAATCATGTATCTAGGTATTGTCAAACTATTACTGCTTCTAAAAGCAATAATAATTATTGTACATTTAATGTAATCTTTAGCTAATAAATAAATGAGATTCTAAAAAAGTGGGG